CCTGCAGCTCCAGCTGCCATGTGGAAGAAGGGGTGGCGCCCACCAGCTGCCATACCTGCTGGGCAAGGGGTCTGGAGTCAGACACCCAACCCAGCTCAGCGCTTTCTGGCCCCTCACTGATGAGGCCCCCTCATAGTGTCTTGTCATATCTGTCAACTCTGTGTGGGCATCACAGTCACTTGGGTAATATTTTTAAAATTGCAGATTTCTAGGTTCCATCCTGGGACAGGCTGAGCCATCAGCTATGGGGTGAGGCCTGGCAATTGGCATGTTTAAAGCTTAATAGCAGATTCTGAAGCCCAGGCAGGGCTGAGAACTACTATTTTGTGTGTCTTGTTAATTCTGTCTCTCACCCCTCCTCTTTGCTCTCTTTCCTCTCCCCTGAGTGACAATGGTACCTTTGACATGCCAGCCATGTGCTTTATTACAGAGCATTTAACTCAGTTTTCATGTATGTGGCCAGTTGTGCTGGGGGCAAAGGGAACTCTCCTAAACACAAGCCAGTCTTCACCTAACTTGGCCAAAGTCTGAGCCCACTCCCTCTCTAACTACAGCTAACCCTTCTACTCTCCTCACCAAGATGTCTCCTACACAAGGTGGCTTGAGAAAGAATGTGAGTGACACAGTACATGTGTTGTCCTGCAGGTGGCCTGCCCAGACGGATGGCAGGGTGGTCAGTGTATCACATCTCCCCCCACACACTGGCCATCTGTGTTCAAGTCATGTGTTCCAGCACAAGGCAGGCCCGTCTAGACCAGGCCATCTTGTGGACAGTTCAGGTGCCCCAACCGCCATCATCCCAACCAGTGCCTTCTTCATCCAGAGGCATTTATGGCTGCCAGAGAAATGAGACAGAGGGAAGCAGGGGGCACAGAGCCTGCTGGAATGGCCACAGAAGTGTCTGCCAGGTGTCCTGGCTACTGCAGGACCAACTTCAGCTTCTCTACTCCCAGCTAAGCTTGGGCATGCCCCCAGCTAACACTTACCAAGCCTTACCATGCCATGTGCCAGGCACTGGGCTAAGTACTTCTCATGCATTAATTGCTGGATTCGGTCCTCACAGCTTACCTATAAAATAGACATTTCTGTTAAGCCCATTTTGCAGATGTGGAAACTGAGGCCACAGAGGTTAAAGAGCTTCCTCCAGCATCACATAGCCAGAAACTGATGGTGCTGGGATCAAGTCCAGGTCTTCCTGACTCCTAAGCCCAAGTTCTCACTCTTTTATTTATTTGGTTATTTAAAACCGGTTAAGTTGGTGTGGCTTTTCCCTGAAGCAGACCCTGAGACAATGGTTCAGGAAAATGTAGTTTATTTTGGAGGCACAGACACACCATCAGGGAGGAAGGCAACTGATAAGAATGTGTCATCCTAGTTGGACGTGGTGGCTCACGCCTATAATCCTAACACTTCGGGAAGCGAAGGCGGGTGGTTTGCTTGAGCTCACAAGTTTGAGACCATCCTAAGCAAAAACGAGACCCCATCTCTATTAACTATAGAAAAACTGAGGCAAAAAGATCACTTGAGCCCAAGAGTTGGAGGTTGCTGTGAGCTATGAAACCATGGCACTCTACCCATACCCAGGGTGACAGCTTGAGAGTCTGTCTCAAAAAAAAAAAAGAAAGAATGTGTCATCCAGCCAGTTACTGGTTAGAAAACAGATAGTGTGCCAGGTGGAGCAAACCACATGCCCCAGAGTTATCACAGTGAAGGGCTAGGTGCTTACACCCTCACTCCATCAGCTGCTGGTTGAGGGCTGCCCGGAGACTGTTAACTTCCTGGCACTTCTGTCCTGACATAGCAGAGTGGTTTTGGGGAAAAATCACCCAGGAACACACTAACTGATGCAGCCCAAGGGAAAGTGGTATGTGGGTAGCACATTGTCAGCTTCTGTACATGAATTTTCATCATAAAAATGACTAATGCACATAGTAAAAAGTTCAGTCCCTACAGAGTAGTGCTAGTATATCTCCTCTATCCCAGGCTCCCAGTTCTTCATGCCATAGGCAACTGTTCTGATAGTTGGTGAGTCCAACAAGTTGAATCATACGTGTCTTTTTTTTTTTTCATGAATCATATCATATAGTACATGCTCTTGTGCCTCTTGCTTTTTCTTCACTTAAAAGTAGATCTTGATCAAGTCCTCTATGAATGGAAAAATTAAGTTGCTGCCTATTTTTTCCAGCTACCAACAGTGCTGCAGTTAACCCTTGCATGTGCATGTCTGCACTTCTGTGCAGGGTACACTCTAAGTGGAATTGCTGCATGTTTAGCATTTCAACAGATACTGCCAGATCGCCCTCCAAAGAGGTTGTTGTTGGCCCAGCAGACACTCCCACCAGCAGTGCAATGCAGCGCTGGCTTCTCCCCGCTCTCGGCCGATCAACTATATATTTGACTTTCTCTGGTTGGTTCTGGGTTGGAAAAGGAGGGAGAATAGGGAAGCTGGTCATTACTGGCCAAGGACTGACTTGCAGAGGCAGTGGGTGAGTCCTGTTGTCACGTACAGTCTGGCCACTATCCATGTGTATTTTGGCCTCATCCCTGAGCTCTCTGGCTATCATCCCTCCTCAGAAATGTGCTTTCTTTCCAGAATGAAACCCCAGTCACCATTCCGATGCCAACTTGGTGCTGAGGGCTCTGCAGACTCCCTCTTCCCTCCTTTGTACTGTTTTGCTTTCCTGCTAATTCTGCTTGGCATCAGAGTTACAACACCTTTAATAGCTACCGTATAACATCCTGCTGGTGTTATTCCTTGGGCCTCCCAAATACAGTATTTGCATTAAGATCTTTGCTTGGGGTCCACTTCTGACAAAAACCCAAAGTTAAAAAGTCTTGTTGTCACCAGTTTACCGATGAAGAAAACTGAAGCCTAGAGAGGTTAAGTGACCTATTTCAGGGTGTGACCTAATAAGAAACATGTATTGGATCCCAGTTTTTGACATAGAGCTCTTATAACGCCTTGTAATTTCCTGAGCGGTAGAGATGATAGGAGTGTCTTACATAGAGCTCCTAGATTCCTTGGAACTTCCTCAGTATTTGTTCTAATGAGGCAACTCTTGGTGGGGTCCTAGAGAGTTTTAGGATAGGGGCTGGTCACCATAACAACCAAGCCATGTTAGAAGTTTGGAGCTTTCAGCCACATCCCCCTATCCTCCAGGGAGCAGAGAAGGGCTAGAGAATGACTTAATAATCCATCATGCCTATGTAGGAAAGTCTCCATAAAGATTTCTAAACTATGGGGTTTAGAGAGCTTCAAGATTACTGAACACATCTGTGTGTTGAGAGATGGTGCACCCCATCTCTCAGAAACTTCTGTGCTTAGAACCTTTTTGGACCTTTTCATCTGGCTATTCATTGTATCCTTTATAATATACTGGTAAATAGACATAAGTGTTTCCCTGAATTCTCTGAGCCACTATAAAAAATTATCAAACCTGAGGAGGGAGGGGGTTATAGAAATCCTAGATTTGCAGCCAAGTTGGATGAAAGTGGGTGTTCTGGGCACTCAATATTCACAACTGGTGTCAGACGTGGGAGCTCAGACGTGGGAGCAGTCTTGTGGACTGAATCTGTAACCTCTGAAGACTATGCTAACTCCAGGTAGGTACCTTTGTCAAAATTGAACTAAGTTGTGTTATAGAATACCCAGGTGGCGTCCACAGAAAATAGGAAAATTGTGTGATGTGGAAAAGCCACACATTTGGTATGAAAATGGTTGTGAGCATAGAAAAAGAGTTTTTCTTTTATTAATACAAGATTAGGCAGCTTGTAAAGCAAGAACCCCACACTGGTCTTAATTTGTGAGTGTGTGTTATGTTCTAATTTGTTAAATCCAGATGCCACCTTTTGTAATTTTATAGCCTCCTAATGCCTATCATAGCTTCTTGGGAAAAATGAGCTTTGTTTAAGTATTTTAAAAATGTAATAGAACTCTCAAGAGCAAACAAAAAACAAACCCTGGATACACAGCCCAACTCTGCCTCCCCCAAAGGAGACAAGAACAGGCAAGACACTCACATCTTTGAAGGAGAAATCACATTTTATTTGGACTGTTACTTGAGAACAGTGATTGTGCTACACCCTTGACAAATAAATGACAGAGTATCTCATCATAGAAAAAAAAAAGCTGAGGCTTTTCTCCCCTCTCAGTCCCCACCCGCTTTTACTATCATCTAAAGGAGGGGAAAGTCCAGCTGTAAAGGCAGAGCAGGTCTTTGTCCCCAAAGTGGCATGGAGCAAGGTGCATCACAAAGCTATGTCCCCAAAGTCATATCTTGACAAAAGAGTTAAACTACCCAGGCTGGTAGTTTTTCACCCTGATCCCTCTATGTTCATTTATTTGCAAAAACCAATGAGTTCCTGGAAATTCGATAATTATAATCCACAAGAAGTGTGCGAGGAGGAACAGGATCTGGCAGTGAAAGCAGTGAAGGGGCCCTTCCACTTTTGTGGGGTTATTACTCACACTTTGCTGGTGGAAGCGGGACCAGCTGGGAGCACCTCCAACACACTGGAGAGCTGCAGCTGCTGACAGATTCCTACCCCCACACAGAGAGAGACAGGCGGACAGCACTTGGGTCGGCAAGACCAGAGGGCTCATGGAAGGCAGCTGCAGACAAGAGTGCAAGCAACCTGTGCTATGCCTGCAGGTACTTGGTCTCACGTGCCCGGGCTCTGATGGAGCCTAGAGGTCAGAAAGGAGCCAGGTCCAGGTCAGGAGTGCAAAGGATCACCACCACCCTCCTTCTGGGACCTTCTTACCCAGCTCAGGGAAGGTGAAGGGCTCTGCATGCTTGGAGCTGTTACTCAGCCCTTGGGGACCAGACCTGCTGCAGCTCCCTGGGGTTTTCCATAGAATAGACACAACCCTGGAGCGTGATGCTCAGAAACAGGAAAATGAGCCCTTCCGCCATCACTGCTGGTTTCTCCAGGCCCTGAGCAGCCTGTCAGAGAGTCCAGGCCTGGGCCAAGTTCAGGGCCGGAGGGTTGGGTGGTGATTAGATGGTGATGTTGTTGCCAGGGTGTCTCCGGACCTTGGCACCCACTTCCCTAGCCCCCGTGGAAGCTTTCTTCTGCTTGGCATCCAAGTTCTTCATGTATGTTTGGACCCACTGCTGTTTAGGGTCTCCACAGACCTTCACGCCCTTCTTGGTGGTGAAACTGTGGGGGTAAATGATAGGGGCTCATCTAGGGCCAGACCAGGACCTTGAGTCACTCCACTTCATGGAGAGGTAAGTATGGAAGCCCAGAGAGGGTCAGTTGCTTGCCTAGGCCACCTAAAAAGTACTGACATGATACCTTCTATCTTTGTGTTTTAGGACTGGAAGGAGGAATGGAGTAGGGTGCAGAACTCATTCAGCGACCTTCTTGTCAGATGGCGGAGGCCCAGCCCTACCTTTAGATATGCTGGATCTGAAGGGAGAGACATAATCTCTACCCTCAGAGAGGGGAGGGGAGGAGAAATCACAAGGAAAATTCCCCAGAAAAAAAGGCTGATGCCTCAGGTTCACATACTGTGCTCGAAAGTGACACTGGGGTAGCCTTTTCCAAGCCAGCTCTGAGCTGGGAGATACCAGGCAATGGAACTGAGGCATGTGCCAGTGGGGAAAATTAGTAACACTGCCATCACATTTCTACTACACACCACTGTTTGCAAAGTAAGTTTATATTTGCTACCTGATGGAGGTAGGAGTCCAGGCAGCTGTCTACCCATGTGACTTTTCTCGGTTGCCCTCTATAAAGTGGGGACAATCCCTCCTACCCCATAGAGTTGTTGAGAGAATTAGTTAAGATGTCGGACACCCCTAATCATGCCTGGTATATATTTGGTGCTCAAGAAATGATTGTTGAGTCTAAATCCCCCTCTACCTTTATGGGTAAGGAAGCTGAGGCCCAGAGAGGGGAGATGTCTTTCCCAGGGACACACAGAGCTGGGCCCTGCTGACTTTACTTCTCAAGACCCCTGGGAGCTCACCTTCCCCTGTCCCTCTCCTGTCAGGTATCCGGGGAGAAGTACTTACATCACTCCTGCCTTGGGGCAGACGCTCCCACTGGACAGTTGGTAGCTGACCACCAGGTTCTTGGGAATTTTCTTGGAAATAAAGGACATGCAGCAGGAGGAAGGGATGACTATAGAACCTAAAAGAGGAGGGAGAGAAGGGCCATGTCCTTTCTGAGTCTCCCCTCTGCTCTGGGCCTCAGAGCTGGAGCCTGCTCCTCTCCTGTCCTCCCGGCTGTGTCACTCTGGCTGCCCATGCCCTTGGAACAGCATCATTCTCAAGGTCTTACCTGTGGGGATGAGGTGGTGGGTGCACAAGACCAGGAGCAAGAGTCCACTGACGATGCTCACGGGGCCTGCCATGTCCAGAAGTGCAGAGGTGACAGCTCAGGACTCAGAGACGGGGTGCAGGAGGAGAGGAGCTGGGGATAAGGAGCACAGTTCTTTGCAGAGCACACCAAATGCCCTTTCTGTGCACTTTATAAGCTAGGCGGAAATATGGCCCCTCCTGCCCCCCGTGCCCCCCCTTCAGGCTTCCTCGAAAATATTGAGGCCCTTATGGTCTGGAAAGGGGAAGTTGTTGCCCAACTGACTCAGGCGTATTTGGGGCTCCATGCAAAAGAGCTGGGGGAGGGGGCCATGGCCCAGCCTGGACCAACTACTGAAGCTTTGGATGCACAGTCAGGAGGAGGCTGATGGGATCCTGGCTGTGCTGCTACTCCCTGTGGATCCAGGGTAAGTCATTCACCTCTATGAGCCTCAGTTTCTTCAGCTGCTGCAAATAGTGGTGATGGATGTGCTGAAGGTTTGGAGGATGGAAAGCAATGGTCATTGTGCTGGAGCTCTGAAATTTTTTTTCTTTTTTTTTCTTTTTTGAGACAGAATCTCACTACTTCACCCTCTGCCGAGTGCTGTGGCATCACAGCTCACAGCAACCTCGAACTCTTGGGCTTAAGTGATTCTCTTGCCTCAGCCTCCCAAGTAGCTGGGACTACAGGCGCCTGCTAGAACACCCAGCTATTTTTGTTGTTGTTGCAATTGTCATTGTTGCTTAGCAGCCCTGGGCTGGGTTTAAACCTGCCAGCCCCACTGTAGGTGGCCAGCACCCTAACCACTGAGCTACAGGTGCTGAGCCTGGAGCTCTGAAATTTCTTTTTATTGAATGGTAAGTATGTACATTAATGTACTTCTGGGGTACAATGTGGGCTTTTCACACACAATCTGAAACACTTCCATCAAACTGGTTAACATAGCCTTCATGTCATTTTCTTAGTTATTATTTTAAAACGTTCACATTCTACTCTTAGAAAGATTCACTTGTACCCTTGTAAGATAAACCTCAGAAGGGATCCCTCCAATCCCCCTCCCTCCACCCACTCCCCCCTCCTCTCTCTCCCTCCCCCTACCATGTATTCTTAGGCTGTTATTAGGTTATAGCTTTCATATAAAAGGTATAAATTAATTTCATAATAGGGGTGTGTACATTGGATACTTTTTCTTC